ACACCGAAACCAAAAGAGAGAGTCGAGCTCAGAAACAAGAGGAAATTACCACAGCCCTCAGAAACAAGAAAGACTATGAACTCAAAGGGTCTGTGGGCACCATGTCTGTGTTTTTCGTTCTCCTTGAATGCTGCCAGAAGAAGTTTGCTTCGGTTTCTCTGACTGCCACCATTCAACCCAGTAATTTTTTTTTTTTTTTTAAGTAAGCTCTATGCCCAATATGAGGCTTGAACTCATGACCCCAAGATCAGGAGTTACATATTCTACCAACTGTGCCAGCAGGCACTCCTCAACCAAGTAGATTTAAAGATCTACTTGGCTTTATTAAATGATTCATAAATCAGACAATAGCTCATTTGGCAAGTACAGTGTGGCTCTGAAGAGTTGTACAAAATGGAAGGTTTTTATAGGAGGGTAGGGCAGGAAAGTTATTAGCAGAAGAAAAGGATTGTCCTTTAGGGGAAAAGCAAAGGGTCTTATGCAGATAACCTCATCTTTCCTTAGGGGATGGAGTGTGCCCATGTGGCAGACTCATTGACACTGATCCAAAATTTCCTAACCAGATTGTCTTTTCTTCCATTGTATATTCTTGCCCTTCTTTGTTGTAGATTAATTTACCATACAAGCATGGGTTTATTTTTGGGCTTTCTACTCTGTTCTATTGATCTGTGTGTCTGTTTTTATGCCAGTACCAGGCTTTTTATCACAATAGCTTAATAGTGTATCTTGAAATCTGGAATTGTGACACCTCCAGCTTTGTTCTTTCTCAAGATTGCCACCGCTATTTGAAGTCCTTTGTCATTCTGTACAATTTTAGGATTATTTGTTCCAGTTCTGTGAAAGATGCAGTTGGTATTTTGATAGGGATTGCATTGAATTTGTAGATTGCTTTGGGTAGTATGGACATTTTAACAATATGAATTTCTCCAGTCCGTGAGCCTGGAATATTTTCCCTTCTTTGTGTGCCATCTTCAGATTCTATCATCAGTGTCTTAAAGATTTCAGAGTACAGTTTTTTCACCTCCTTGGTTTAGTCCTAGGTATTTTATTCTTTTTGGTGCAATTGTAAATGGAATTGTTTATTTCTCTGCTACTTTGTTACTAGTATATAGAAATGCAGCTGATTTTTGGGTATTAATTTTCTGTCTTCCAACTTTACTGAATTCATTCATTACTCCTAATAGGGTTTTTTTGGTGGAGTTTGGGGCTTAAGGTTTTCTGTGTATAGTTTTAGGATTTTCTTTGTATAGTTTCAAGTCATCTGCAGATAGTGACAGTTGTCCTTCCTCACCAATTCTGTGCCTTTTCTTTTTGTTGTCTGATAGCTGTGGCTAGGACTTCCAGTACTGTGTTGAATGAAACTGGTGAGAGTGGACATCTTCATCTTGTTCCTGATCTTAAAGGAAAAGCTCTCCATTATTCACCATTGAGTATCACATTAGCTGTGGGTTTGTCATACATGGCTTTTATTATGTTGAGGTATGTTCCCTCTACACCCACATTGAGAGTTTTTATCATGAATGGATGCTATATTTTGTCATATGCTTTTCTTTGCATCTGTTAAGATGATCATACGGTTTTTATCCTTCCTCTTGTTAATGTGATGTACCACATTGATAGGTTTGTGAATACTGAACCATCCTTGCATCCCAGGAATAAATCAAACTTGATCATGGTAAATGATCCTCTTAATGTATTGTTGAATTCAGTTTGCTAATATTTTTTGAGAATTTTGCATCTGTGCTTATCGTAGATACGGGCCTGTTTTTTTTTTTTTTTTGTAGTGTTTTTGATGGGTGGTTTTGGTATCAGGGTAATGCCGGCCTCATAGAATGGATTTGGAAGTTTTCTGTCCTATTTTTTGGAATATTTTGAGAAGAGGTGTTAACTTTTGCTTAAATGTTTGGTAGAATTCACTGTGAATCTATCTGGTCCTGGACTTTTGTTTGTTGGGGGTTTTTTGATTATCAGTTCAATTTCATTACTAGTAATTGGTATGTTCAGATTTTCTATTTCTTCCTGATTCAGTTTTGAAAGTTTACATATTTCTAGAAATTTATGTATTTCTTCTAGGTTGTCCATTTCGCTGGCATGTAGTTTTGTAGTATTCTGTTCTAATCTTTTGTATTTCTGTGGTGTCAGTTGTTACTTACCCTCTTTCATTTTTTATTTTGTGTCTTCCTCCTTTTTTTCTTGATGAGTCTGGCTAAAAGTTTATCACTTTTGTTTATCTTTTCAAAGAACCAGCTCTGGGTTTCATTATTTTATTTCTATTGGTTTTTTAGTGTCTATTTCATTTATTTCTACTCTCATCTTTATTATTTTCTTCCTTCTACCAATTTTAGGTTTATTCTGTTCCTTTTTCTAGTTTCTTTACATGTAGGGTTAGATTATTTACTCGGAATTTTTTTTGTTTCTTGAGGTAGGCTTGTTTCACTATGTATCTCCTTAGAACTGCTTTCACTGTGTCTCAAAGATTTTGAACCATTGTGTTTCATTTTCATTTGTCTCCATGTATTTTTTTATTTCCTCTTTGATTTCTTTATTGACCCATTGGTTGTTTCATAGCATGTTGTTAACCTCCATGTGTTTGTTTCTTCCACTTTTATTCTTGCGATTTATTTCTAGTTTCATACTGTTGCGGTTGGAAAAGATTACTATGAATTCAGTTTTACTAAATTTAGTGAGACTTGTTTTGTGGCCTCACATGTGACCTGTTCTGGAGAATGTTGTTATGTGTTCCCTTGAAAAGAATGTATAATCTGTTGTTTGGGGGTATGTCCATCTGGTCTAATATGTTGGTTGAAAGACCACTGTTTCCTTATTTATTTTTATTCTGTATGATCTATCCATTGTTGTAAGTGGGGTATTAAAGTCTCTCAGGATCATATTACTGTCAGTTTCTCCCTTTATCTATTAATATTTCCTTTATGCATTATTAGGTGCTCCAGTGTTGGGTGCATAGATATTTATAATTGTTATATCCTCTTGTTGGATTGATCCCTTTATTATCATGTAATGCCCTTGTTTGTTGTTAGTCTTTGTTTTAAAGTCTATTTTTATTGATTTAATTACTGCTACTCTGGCTTGCTGCACCCCCCGCCATCAGTTTGCATAGGGTATCTTTTTCCATCCCTTCACTTTTAGTCTGTATGTTTCTTTAGTACTAAGGTGAGTCTCTCGTACACTGCACGTAGATGGGTCTTTTTTTATCCAATCTGTCGCTTTGTGTCTTTTGATTGGAACACTTAGACCATTTAATTTAATTATTGATGTATATGTTCTTTTTGCCATTTTGTTGCTTTTGTAGTTCTTCTCCATTCCTTTCTTGGTCTCTTGCTCTCATTCCTTGTGATTGATGACTTTCTTTAGTGTTTTGCTTAGCCTTCTTTCTCTTTATTTTTTGTGTATCTCTTGCAGGTTTTAGGTTTGTGGTTGCCATAAGGTTCATATATGACATCCTGAGTACTTAGCTGTCTATATTAAGTTGATGGTTACTTAAGTTCAAACACATTCTAAAAGAAACCCATTTTTATCTACCCCCTCCACATTTTATGTATATGTTGTCATATTTCGTATCTTTTTAGTTTGTGAATCCCCTTAACTGATTTTTGAATATAATTGACTTTACTACCTCTATCTTTAATCTTCAGACTCACTTTTTAAGTGTTTGCTGTACTACCTTTACTTTGTTTGATTTTACTCATGAAAGTTTTTCATTTCATAATTTTCTTCTAATTTGACCTCTTCTTTTCCCCTCAAAGAAATCATTTTGTATTTTTTATAAGGCTTCTAAAGGTGATGAACTTTTTAAAATTTTGTCTGGAAAACTGAACAATTCCTAATGATAACCTTGCTGGGTAGAGGATTCAGGTTGTAGGTTTTTACAACCTTAAGCATTTTTAATATATCGTACTGTTCCCTTCTGGCCTATATAGTTTCTGCAGGGAAATCAGCTGATAGTCTTGGATTTCCTTTGTATATAACTCATTGTTTCTCTCTTTCTGGTTTTAAATTTCTCCCTTTTATCTTTGACATTTTCATTACTATTTGTGGTGTGGACTTCCTTGGGTTCATCTTTAGTACTCCTCTGCACTTCTTGAACCTGGAGGTCTGTTTCCTTCCCTAAGTGAGGGAGGTTTTCATCTATCGTGTCTTCAAATAACTTATCTGCCCCTCTCTTCCTTTTCTTCTTTTGGGACCCCTATAATGCAAATGTTTTTTTGCTTGATGTTGTCCAAGAGATCCCTTAACCTATCCCTTTTTTTTTTTCCTTTTTACTGTTCAGCTTGGGTTCTTTCCATTGCCCTCTTTTCCATATTACTAATCTCTTTTCTATCCTCTAATCTGTTGATTCCCTTTAGTTCATCTTTCATTTCATTTATTGTGTTCTTCAACTCTGATTGGTTCTTTTTAATTTTCTGTCTCTTTGTTCAAGTTTTTACTGAGTTTATCAACCCCAATGTCCAATCCAGTGGGCATCTTTATGTCCATAATTTTGAACTATTTATCAAGCATATTTCTTATTTCCATTCTATTTAGTCCTGTTTCCGAGGTTTTGGTTTTGTCTGAAGCAGACTCCTTTGTCTCCTCCTCTTGCTTTACTTTGTTTCTGTGAATTACATGCAACAGCTACTTTTCCAAAATAGAGTGATATTGTGTAGTCATCCCCTGTGGAGGATGTGTGCCTGGTGACTTTGGCTGGCTTTCTGAATGTGTGGATGTCGGAGGCTTAGATCCTGGGGCACCTCGTGTTAGGGCCATTTTGGTGGGATGTACAGAACCAAAGCAGGTACAGGCCAGGTACAGGCCTGGACAGTCTCACAGCTCTCCATGTAGATTGCACCCTGGCCAGAGAGCTGGTGCTATAGTGGGTATTGTCTGGAGGCAGTCCCAGGGTTCTCGCCTGATAAGACAGCTGAAGCTGAAGAGGTTTCATTCTAGGCAGCTTGGGGCTCCTCGTGGAGCTAGTGCCCTGGCAGGACAGCTTAAGTTTAAGTGAGCCTGGGCCAGCGGTTCCCAAGACCCTTCGTGCAGGTGGCACCCTGGTTGGGTGTGAGCTAATTTGGAAAGTCCTGGGATGCTCTTAACTGGGGGTATCCTGGCAAGTTATCTGGAGGTGAAGTGGTGGGGGCCTGGGTTATTCTGGGGTGCTTTGCACATGTGCCACCTTGGCGAGTCAGCTGTTGTGAACACTGACCGTGGGTGTTCTGGTGTGGTCTCTGCTGGGGCCACCTTCACAGACACTGTGTTGGTTTGGGCCAGGGGCCTAGTGCTTGCTGAGGTGGTAGGCCAGCTGTGGTGTCTGCTCGCGTCTGTGCTCTCAAGGTGGATGGGGAAGATAAACAGTGATGTTCACCATCCCCTCTGAAGCAGAAAATACCTGCTGAGCTCCTGCACTGTTTGGCAGAGTTCCGGGGCAGGATCTTTTATATTCTAGTTACCCTTTGAAGCCTCATTGTTTTTTCTGTATCCCAGGGCAGACAGATCTGCTCATGGTCATTCAGTACTATCACTCCCACCGTGGCTCTCAGTGTCGGGATTGGGGGTTCCCTTCATGACTGTGTCTCTGTCTTGCCTTTTTGTATGTGATACATCTTTTGCTGTGCAGAAGCTGTTTGGTTAGCTCTGTGTTGTTCTTCAGGAGGAAGTGCTTTATAAATAGGTGTAGATTTGGTGTGTCCATGGAGGAGGTGAGTTCAGGGTCTTCCTGTCTGGCAACCTCGGACTGGAACCTCCTTTTCATTTTGATATGTGGTTTTCACATGGCTTGGTTTTGTTTAGTTAGCCAAGAAACATTATACTTTATAGCATAACAACAGATTATTTTACATTCCATGAAAACAATTCTGTATAAGGTGATGGCATTCTATATCACTAGGTTATTTTAATTTTGCTTTCCAGGAAATAACAGTACAACAACTAATGTCTCATTTGGACTCCATCAGGAAAGACATGGTCATCCTAGAAAAAAGTGAATTTGCAAATCTGAGAGCAGAGAATCAGGTGATACAAGTTTCGGTTTATTACTAATAAAATAACTGATTTCACATGTATTCCACTTGGTGACGAATAGGACCAAATAATGATTTTATGTGGTCAATCAATAATTATCAAGGTTTTAGATCAAAGTATACTACATGTTTAACCATAACTAATGTTTCTATATATAAATTATGGTTTCTTGACCAAAGATTAAGGGTTGTACCTTACACATGTAAAAGTCACATGGAAGGGAAAATCTTTGAGCTCTATATTTATTATTATAAAATTTCTCATATAGCTCAATATAATGTTCTCAGAATTTAAAGTAATGTGACATTTTCCATTTTATATGATTCTGTGCTAACTTTTGTCAGTTAAAATTAGAAAACTTTCTGTACTTCAGTTGGAATTTTGATCGCTAGCTTAAATATTTTTAAATTTAGAATATCAGTCATGGTTTAAAAATTAAGTAGAACAGATACTTTTTTTGTATTGTAAAATTCATAAGAATTTTTTGAATATGATGAAATACTACTTTCCTTTTTTGTGTAGTTTTAGTTAATGGTTAATTAGAAATGTGTAGAGATCGTCCAGTTTTTGCTAATGCAGGGTTTCAGATTTGTTGTGTTTGGTATAATGGCAATTGCATGTGATTTTTTTATACCCAGAAAATGAAAACTGAATTGGAACAAGTTAAGCAGCAACTGATAGTAAGTTTAAGTACTTTTCTCACTTTAGAATATTTTACTAATTTCAGAACAAACATTATGAGATTTCTTTTTTAATATTTTGGTTTTCTTTAAAGAATGAAACCAGTCAAATCAGAGCAGATAATAAACTGGACATCAACCTAGAAAGAAGCAGAGTAACTGATATGGTAATGTGCTTCTAAATGTGTTTTCTTGGTAACTTAATTCCTTTATTATTCCTTCTGGTCTTTTTTTTTAACCTCTTGATTCATCATATCCTTTAGTTTACAGATCAAGAAAAGAAACTTATGGAAGCAACCACAGAATTTACCAGCAAGGTAAACTAGTATGTAAAAATGTCTTTTATACTGCTCTCATGCCCTGTACCTGAACTGTGATTTCTGTCAGAATCCAGGTAACATATTTTGTAACTAAATTATTTGTATATACAAAGGAACTATTTTTTGCAAGCAAGCAAGGATTCACAATTAGCATTTAAATGAAGGCAGAGACTAACAGTAAATATTTATTGAATGCTTATTATGTATCAGATACTGTTTTACTTGCTTTACTTCTGTTAATTCTCCTTATCAGCCTCTGAAGTAGGCCCTCTTTAGTCCCATTTTACCAATTTGGAAAATGAGACACAGGGAAGTTAAAGTCACATAGCTAATAAGTGGTCGAGCCAGAATGTGATCCTGGATTCTGAACTCCATACTCTACAACTGTTTACCTTCTCCTAATCCTAAATTGTAATCCATGTTTAATCTCTATAGCTTGAGTAAAACCCAGCTTTTTGACTCAGCCTACAAGTTAAAAGCCATTTGGTCTACATTCTAACAGAAGAGACATCACTCTTTTTTGCTGTTGTTTTTATTTATTTTAGAAAGAACACGAGGAGAGGGAGGGAGACTGTCTTAAGCAGACTCTGTGCTGAGCTCAGAGCCACAGGCAGGGCTGTTTCATGACCCTGAGATCACAACCTGAGCCAAAACCAAGAGTCGGCAGTTTGTGCCACCCAGGTGCCCCGAGACATCACTCTTTGTTAATTATTAAATAGAAGGGAAGGTCTCATTTGTCTTTCCAGGTATTCTATTCTGTTCTTTTCTTGGCCAGACAAAAGAGATAAACAAGGAAATCAAATTCTCCAGAGCTTATTTCTAAGCTCCATATGCCATCTTATCTCTCTCCCTGGTGTTACACAACAAAAGCATTTCTGCCATTCCCTTTAATACTGCTGCCAGTTCACATTATAAATCTGGGTGAGTTTTTTCTTTAAATTGTGCAAAAGTTTTTTTTTTTTTTTTTTTTTTTTTAAAGTTTTTATTTATTTATTTGACAGACAGAGAGAGAGGGAACACAAGCAGGGGGAGCGGGAGAGGGAGAAGCAGGCTTCCCGCCGAGCGGGGAGCCCGATGCGGGGCTCAATCCCAGGACCCCGGGATCATGACCTGAGCCGAAGGCAGACGTTTAACGACTGAGCCACCCAGGCGCCCCTAAATTGTGCAAAAGTTTTAACTGTGATGTCCTAAAGATTTTATACACAAAGTGTTTATAGTTCTAGGACTAAAACTTTTTCCTTTCCTTCCTAGTTTACCTTCTTAGTTTATTATCATATATTTTAGGTCTCAAATTTTTTACTATGAGGCTTTTAGTAGAATGTACCCAAAATAAGATAATCCAAAGAAATTAATAATAATCTCCAAATATCAAAAATTGAATATTCTTTTTGTCCGTTTGTAATGTTCATGTTTTTTCTGTCACTGTGCTTTTACTGTTTCCCCAATTAAGACCCTTGCAATACAAAGTTAGCCCTAAGTAAGGGTTTCTAATGTAAATGTTTTGTCCATAATATATAGGGACAGAATTTGTCTCATTTTTATTTACTGCAGGATACCAAAACCAGAAGTATTATTTCCGAGACCAGTAATAAAATTGACACTGAAATTGCTTCTTTGAAAACACTGATGGAGTCTAACAAGCTTGAGACAATTCGTTACCTTGCAGGTAAGGCAATTCGCTATCTTGTTAAAAAAACAAAATTCAGTATAGTAAAGCTGAAGATGTAATTAGCTTTTTTAAACAATTTGCGCAGCCTCTTATTTAGCATGTAGAGGGAATGGAAGCTCAATGCATTGTACATTATAGGAAGGAAGGTGGGGCAAGAAAGTTACTAGCAAAAGAAAAGGATTGTTGCAGGCAAGGTCACTTTCCCATGAGGATAAAAACAAGGGGTCTTTTACCCTCTGGGAGAAGGGAGAGGGCCCATGTGGCAGACCCATTATCACTAATCAGAAGATTCCCTGTTTGTTCAGTTAAGACTACATTTCTGGGAAAGTTTGAAACTGCAGTTAATGTAGGTATTAAGCCCTGGTTTGCAGAATAAGCCTGAGTGATGCCATTTGGGGCCTGTGGTTTAACAATTCCCCCATGTGATCAATCTCAGCTTAATTGAAAAATGTGATCAAAATTTAAGGCATTAGTGCTGCTCTCAGTTCCCACTATTTTGTTGTTGTTTTCTCTGGTATTATCAGGGAGGCAGAATGTCCTTTGCCCTTCTAGCTGGTCTAAGAAATTGACATGAGACAGATTAACAGGAGAAAACAGACGTGAAATTCCAAAGACATTCAGGCAATGTGAGGCTTATATGACATCCTGAGCAAAGGATTGGGGGGGTAGGGGGTCGGCGGATATAAAGGGAAGGACAGCCATTGGCAGGAAGGTGAGAGGAGATGTTTGGAAAATAAAGGTTGCTGTTACACAAATAAGCGTCTTAGGTAAAGAGGAATCTCAGTTAATAGCTCTGTATAGGCTGTCCTTTCTGTAAATGTAAACTTAGTTGATGAGGAGGTAAGGAGCTTTTCCTAAATCTGCTGGGTTTTGACTGCTTTTAAGTCAAAGTAACATTCACAGGCAAAGTGGCCTATCTTGGGGCAACCTGCCCTTGGCACTTGAAGTTTCACACATTTAAAGTTGAGCCCTGGTAGATTGTTCCATCTTGTTGAACCAGTCTTTTAGTACTGGCAATAGATCAGCTCAGGTATAATCTCATTTCAGGAGGCCATGATGCAGGTATATTCTCAAAGTTAGGCCTGTGATTTAATTAAATAACTAATCAGGTGTTCTGTTTCGTTAATTTTTCTGAGTTCTGAGGGTAGCTAGCCATGACTTGTAGATGTCAGGCTGGACGCATCTTCAGCTGGAGTGGGAGCAGGCAATGACAGTCTGACAGATTTTCCTGGTTCATAGTCCACATGTCTCTGATCTTTCGAGTGGCCCCTAGAACAACAGGCATACAGGTTGTCTAGATGTGAGGTAGTGTGATTTTTCTGAAGGTTACCTCAAGTTGTTTTTATTTGGTTTGCAGGGCTTCAGGGAAAAGGGCAGTTTTAGTTCTCAAATGATTCCAATTCAGAAAGGTAGGAGAAAAATTGAAAATACGAGTTTAAAGAGTTTGGAGAAAACTAGAGGTAATCTGGATCTAGTCTAGTTTTTGATGAGCAGTATTAAAATCTAATACACAGGGGTGTGTTTTTCTTTTCTGTAATCACCATTTCCACCAAAGATAACCAAATTGATGCTAGTTTGCAAAATAAGTTCGGTTTTAAAAAAACTTGGCCTGATTAATTTACATAAGTGCAGCAAGAATAGCAGTTGACCATATAGGCTCTTTAAACCTGCTTTCCTGGAACTATTCCTAAGAAATCTCCAGATTAAATTTTCAATAGCCTCTCAACTACTTGCCATCAGACTTCACCTGCAGTACCTATAGATTTGGGTGAATTCTTCTTTTCTCTAGGTTCCTGCATTGGCCAGGAAATGATCTTCTTTACTCACCTGGTAAAGCTGCTGGGAACTCTGTAAGCAATAGTTATTTCCAAGGAAGCTTTATAGGCTCCATAAAGTCCTTAAAGCTGTCTGGTAATATCTGAGTCTGTGTAAATCTATGTCTAAAATAGGACATTCCGTTCAAAGCCTTGATCATATAACCAATTTTCCCATTGTGTCCTGTTACAAGGAGAATAGATTCTTATTTAAATTAAGTAAACTTCCATGAAAACAGAATACTCCCTGGGTTTCTGAATGCTGGAGGGATCAGATAGGGAGAAAAAGATAAATGTTTTAAATTGCTGTGAATCAGTTAGCTTAAGAAACAATCTGGAAAAACAAAACATTTTAAAAAGTCAGCAGTGTTTCAAAGTCATAAAAATAATTCTCAGTTCATTCAGTCCGATTTATTCTTGTTCTGCCTAAATCTGGTTTTTTTACTAGTTCAGAAATTCTTACCTGGTTCAGTTTTATGATCTTAAGATTATTGGAAACTTGTACTCAGAGTTCTTTACATGAGTCTCACTGAAGACATTTGCATTAGCATCAGAGTAAAACAGTAACTTAAAGATGACCGTGGTTATAGATCTGATTAGAATTCATTACAATGCAGTTGATAATTCAGTTTTTTCTGTATTATACAACACTTCAAGGTAACATACCAAGATACCAGATTTTTAGGAGTTTCACTTACTTTATTAACATGTCTATACAAACACAATCTAAGAGGGTTTGCTGTCACTTTGACAGTGCTTCCACTGCAGTTTACTATACCAAATTTTCACAAAATCTTAAATGTTAGATTATGATCCAAAAATTTTAGGGTTTGATTTTTGGAAGTATATTAAAAAAATATTTAAAAGGTTTGAACATTTGATTAATTATTATGAAATAGCATTTAATTATTTAACCAAAGTGACAATAAAAGATTTCAAAGGCAAATAGAAATGGTTACATCCTTGTGAGCAAAATTGAGCTCTTTCAATATTAAGACTCAGTTTTCTTAAGTCCTCAAAGATAGCCAAAGAATCCTTGTTTTCTCGGCAGATGACTTTATAAAGGTAAAGAAAAGCTTTGTTTACAATTTCTTATTAAGAGCAGACCAGTAGTTCAAGAAAATTATTTACTTAAATTCATCCTATTCTTTTCTAAAATTATTGTTCATAAACCTACAGCTTTATTTTTTACATTCAGGTTTTGTCCTAAGTTTTCTCTCTTTAAATAACCACCCTCACTTTAGGACAAAATTATTATCTTTTTGTTCAGCAAAACTGTATTTTGTCAACTGAAAGAAAACCAACCTCAAAATAGGTTGGTAAATGCTTTTTTTGTCTTACCAAGGACTAAAGCCTGGGAGACCGTCTTTCATACTGCTCTGAAGAACTGCTCACAAGCACATATACCCCCTCCCTTTCGTAACTACAAAGACCCATAGGTCATCTTAATACATTATGTTTCTCTCATATCTGATTATTTGAAAATATTGCTTGCATGCCTCTGCTTAACTGATCTTCTGTTTCTACCTGTTTGATTTCTCCTTGAGGTCACTTGAGACATCAAGTCAGATAAGGCCAACATTGGTTGCATACTGCAGTTTTAGTGCACAGTTTGTATTCCTCATACTTTCCCTGCATATAGTGTTGTTTCCCTTATTTCTAGTCGTAATTACATTAGAATCCTTAACTCTTAGAAACTAGTTTCTAGTGAAAACTATGTAGTAAACAATTGTGAACTGTTCATAATTTTTAGAAACATGTGCTTCATAGCAAAGCACAAAACATTTTCTAACATCCAAATTTATCTTTAATTTCTCTATAAGACAAAAATAGATAATTTAATGAATTTATCTTAATTCGATATTTAACTTAGCAGAACATTAAAGTTTCAAGGTTACCAAAGATCTTGGAAGACATTTAAAAGTTTACACTACAAACAAAAAAAGAAACCTTTTTTTATGGTTATTTACTTGTTCTTAAGAATTATGTTCAGACCACCCATAAAACTTCATGAGGCAATAAAGTCAACCACTGTCCTAAGTTTATTTTCTGGTAAGTTTTGCAAAAGAGATAACATGAACATATTTAACTCTTAGTAAACACATGCATAGTAGACGTGTCTTTAACCAACAATACTAAAGTTAGTCTCTAGCTTTCTGAGTTTTGGACCACCCAGTCCTTACAAGCACTTGTCTTTATAACTTTTGTTTTTATTCATACTTGTCTAGAGGACATTAAAGGCCGGATTTCCAAATACTCCCCCCCACCCCTCCATGAAAAACTTCTCCCTAACATTGGTATTTCAAACAAGGGCTCTTTAATCCTAGAGATGATGGGGATGGAAAATTTACATCCCAAAGGTATGGAGAGATTATTAAGGTGGAGATAGAACATATCTGCTTGTTATCAAAGGTGCTAGAGTCTGGGCACAAGAACCCTTTTAGAAGTTTGCCGTTTTAATTTTCAGTCACAGGCAGTTGTGGGCTGTGTTTACATTTTAAAGATCTAAGAATTTCAAGGGACAGTGAAAGACTGCAAAACAAACTTTTTTCCTTCAGAGTTTCAGATTGCTATTTAAGATTTGGCATTTTTTCTTAAGTGCAGGACAATTTTGTACCAATATCCTGATCTTTTAAAATATCTATAGACATTGTGAGAGGCATAGGTGGGCTTTGATTTGTTTCTAGAATTGCATTTCTGGTTTTATAGAGATTTGTAAGACAAAGACAGTTGTTACTAATTCCCACAAAATTGGATTATGGCCTGAATATCAGGGGCTTGGCCTGTTTTTTTAACTAAATTTGCTTTATATCAGATTTTTAACTAAAATTTTAATCAGAAACTTTATGCCTTTGTAAAATCTTTCTGAAGCACTTTAACAAAAGCCTTTTTACTGGGTATACAGTTCACCCTTGGCTTTTCTGTTAGCCCCTGAGTATTGGCATTTCACAAACCATTTGTAGGAGGGTCTAGGAGAAATTTTGGTCATTGTTCCTCTCCAAAGGGGGAACTGTGAATAGTCTAAATTTGGTAGGATTGTCTGAAAGTAGAGGTAAAAGCCTTTACAATTTAAAAGATTTTCTGCTGTCCGGGGAACACAATTTCTTTTGTGGCAGGTGGTCTAGGATCTACTTCTAAAGGACATTGCATAGGAATGCCTGAAGCTGGCAGAGCCTGATTCCAGAGCCCTGGAAGATGGGAGCAAAGAGAGCCTTACTGCCAGTCTTGGGTGCTTTGGTTAACATTTCTGGCTTTCAGCATTTATATGAGCAACATGTATACTTTTAACCTAGAGATTAGGCCAGAGTTCTCTGTGAAATCCTGAAGGGAAATGGGAATGAAAACAAACAGATGAGGCTGGATTTTAAGAAGGGACATTTATGTTGGATATGGACATTGATTTTTGTCTGAAGTCTGATTTCTCTTCATCTTGTCAGGGGAGTCCCTAAGGCTAGCCATTATACTAATACAATTGAGAGCTCTCTATAAAATAGGTATTTTTAAACCTGTACCTCTGAAACAAATAATACATTATATGTTAAAAAAAAAGAAGATAGTAGGAAGGGAAAATTGGAGGGGGAGACAAACCATGAGGGACTATGGACTCTGAGAAGCAAACTGAGGGTTCTAGAGGGGTGGGGGGATGGGTTGGCCTGGTGATGGGTATTAAAGAGGGCACATATTGAATGAAGCACGGGGTGTTCTATGCAAACAATGGATCATGGAACACTACATCAAAAACTAATGATGTAATGTATGGTGATTAACATAATAAGATTAAAAATATATATATATAGCCAATTTAAAGGATCCATTGTCGAGGCATTGACAAATAAGATCTATCAGTAGTAACTCAAATCAATAAGCCTTTAATGGCTTAACCAAAGCCACAAGAGGCATCCAGAGAAGGGTGGAGATAATGTAGCTCCCGTGATCCGAAAGTTTACTCCCAAAATTAATCTAAGGAAACAAAGGCCTTCATTGCACAGGTATTAAGGATAATGCAATGAAAACCGTGTCTCTGATCTCCCACAAAAATGTGAGACTCCTGTCACAAAACCACTAATCTTTGACACCAGGCAGGTGCCACTTAGGAATGGGATTTTCCAGCACTAACAACAAAGGTCCCTATGGCCTGGGACCTCTCATAAGAAACTCTGCTGAGAGGGGCATAGCTAGACAGGGTCAGAACCCATCTATTCAACTGGCCATCAAGGTGTACCCTCTGGATAGTGGAGACCAAAAAGAATATTCTCAGTGGTCACAAAGCCAAGCTCTGAAGACCTAGAATAAGACAAAAGGGAAAAAACCATCCAGTTTTTCTTGTAGCTAAGCCGTGGGGGTCTCTTGGAACAACACTAATACCTGGGAGGCTTATGCTATGGATTGTGTGTTTTATAGTCTACCTTGTTGCACAGAAGTTTTCTGGAAGTTGGCAAGTGACCTATGTCAATCTAAGCTGTCCAGGACCAACTTATCTTAGCATGGGAGTCTTTGAGCTAGGTGGCAAGCACTCTGCTGGCTTTTAAGTGCCAAGGCTGTGCCCACCAATTTTGTGGCTTCCAAGATGTCCCTTAGCAACAGCCTTTACCTCATGTATGACAAATGACATAAAAGACACAGGAAAACAAAGACAGTCCCTGGGATGAAATGGATCCGTAACCAAGGAGTACTCTACTTAATTTACCAACAGTCATTAAGCACAAGGAACTAGTTCCACAAATATTTTCTCCCGCTCAAATTCATTTAGAAAAAGGGTTCTCACCACTCTTGCTCTTGACTCAGATTCCATAGAGATTCCAGGAGATACACATGATAAGAAATCTTACCCTCTGCTGGCTATATGTCAGATTTCCCAAGGATCTCTCTGCTGCAGCAGTGCCGGGGGAGAGTGGTATCCAGTGAGTTTAAAGCATCCTGCTGTTTATGCCAACTGTCAGGAAGAAAGAATGTCCTCTGCCCTTCAGGGTTCTTCTAGCTGGATCAAGAATCAAATTGACATGACACATTAACAGGAGAAAATCAAATTTGGTTTCATATGGACATGGGGAATCCACAGACATGAAATCCCAACAGGCAACATGAAGCTTACATGACATCCTGAGCTAAGGAGAGGGGTTATGGATCCTGGGGATAGGGGAGGACGGTCCATTAGCACCAGTCAAAATCAAACAAGTCAGAGACTCTGGAAGGAATCATCTTTTTAAGCCAAGCAACCTGTTCTTTGATCTTTCGTAACTGAGTTTCAGCTTCCCCAGAAAAGTTGCTCTAGGCATAGCAGGTGGTCACCAGAGCATAGACACCGCTTTGCTCAGCAAAAAAATAATCAAGAGCTATGCTATTATCAAGGACAACTTTGGCTACAGAATCTAAGGATCTGTTGGGCTGCTGTTTTTTTTAGCAGCAAATTTTGTAATAATTTAGGAATTAAGGAGAAGTTCTTAATCATAGTCTCATTTATATATTTATCCCTAAACAGGGAAATAGGGATTGGCCAAAAGGAGTGAATCCTGAATCAGAAAAGCATCCTGGTATAAATCCTTTAAACTTAGGGGAGTCGAAACACTGTGATGTGTTATTTTGCTTGTGAAAAGTTAAAGGCCTTTATTTACACAAAACAAGACAAACATATGCCTCAACACAACCAGCAGTAACCAAAATATGTCACTGCAGACTGTCCAAGAGAAGGCCATGCACACCACCAGCAGTTCCCAAACTGAACTCAAGCAGACTTCATTCAGGGACTATGGACTAGAAATGAGGAAAGGACTAAACCAGTAAACCCCAGTAACTGGGGGAAGGATTCCAATGTGGAATTGTAGACTGAACCAAGGGTTAAGTCCATTAGAGCCTTCTTTGTTAGTCTAGACTGATTCATTAACCCTGGACTGGAAAGCCAATTAGATGGGTGGCTTGAACCCAAAAAGAGCTGAAACTGACTTACCAAAGGCCCTCAAATGACAAGAAAGTGAACTCTCAGCATTTGCAGGGTGCCACACCTGTGTTTCTCATTGTCCCCAAAAGCCAATAGATGTTTGCTTCAGATCTCAGCGCTGCCACCAAATCTGTTAAAAAAACAAACCTAGTAAACTTGAAGATCTCATTGGCTTTATTAAAGGAACTGGGCAGCATCTCATTTAGCCTGTAGAGGGGAGCTCCCAGGAGTTGTCCAAAATGTAAGGTTTTGGGGCACCTGGCTGGATGGCTCAGTTGAGAGAGCATGTGACTTTTGATCTTGGGGTCATGAGTTTGAGCCTCATATTGGGTATAGAGATTACTTAAATAAAACTTAAAAAAAAAAAAAAATGGAAGGTGAAAAGGAGAGTTGGGCAGGTAGGTTATTAGCAAAAGGATTGTTCCAAGTAGTCACTTTCCCTTAGTGGAAGAGCAGGAAGTCTTATGCAGATCACTTCATCTTCTTGTGGGGGATGGAGAGGACTCATGTGGCAGACTCCTCGCTGATCCACAGAATTCCTGACTGGTTAAAACCACACTGTTTAAACTACAATCAGATATTAAGCCCCAGTCTGGGGACTTGGCCTCAGTGACACCATTTGGGGCCTGTGGTTTTAACATTGTGTTTTTCAGAGAAAGTAATTGCTGTCATTTGATATTGAGACCTGTTAGCTCCTATCTCCCAGGGTAACCATGGAGCACAAAAGAAAAAAAAGAGCTAGAACACATTTCCTTTATCACTTGACAGTGCTGGAAGAATAGAAGTTTAACAGGCAGTAAGTTTAAGATATAAGTTTAACTGGTGACTCTGCAACCTACTAATAGGAAAAAGCATATGGATATCAAAGAAATACATAAAAACAAGTACAAAGTGATGCAAAGATAAACTGGTTATTCCACAATGCAAAAAAATGAAAATTTTACTTTTATTCCTATGTTTTTCCATAAGGACTTACAGAGTGGACTTACAGAGAAAGATCACTAAAACAGAGGCAAAAACCATAGCAAGCATAGGGGGAAAATTACCCTATACTTTGAATCCAGCTGAGTACAAATATTAGAGACCCAAAAATTAGATTGTCACATACTGAGCTCCTCAAGTACCATGTGACTGACACAGGGCCCAAAGGAATGAGAAGAGTGCCCTACTTTTGTAGTACTTTTCTCTTTCTTTTTATAAAAAGTAATGTGTTTTACTATTAGAGTATATCTCTTTCTAGGCTTTTTCTTCTGTATATAAATATTGCGGATTATTAAAAATAATAACTAGATTGTATTGTACAGACTACAGCTTTTTCAAATTTAACCAAATGTTTTGAGTATCTTTACATATCAATACATATGAATGTTTTTACTAGAAAGTATTCCATTATATGAAAATGCCATAATTTATTTCTCCAGATCTCTGTTGGCAAACATTCTGCTCCCAATTTCTCATTATTATAAATGATATTGTACCCAACAGCCATGTGTGTGACACGCACATGTGCGCACACACACACACATATCTTTCTGCCCTTATGCTAGTAGTTCTATATAATTGTTTAGGACCATCTAAAATTGGGGGTCCAAAAGATACGCACATTTAAAATGGCTTATATTACTGAATTGTTGTCCAAAATAAAACTGCTGATTTATACCATCAGTGGTTTTCTGGGCAGCCTCTATGAGTGAAGGTGGAGCCCCCAGCCCTCAGCTGATACATACCTCCTTTCCTTTCTTCACCTTGAATCTTTTAAAATATTTTCTCTTTTTAAAATACTGAGCTTCTGTTGAAGATTTATTTGAAAAAGAGTTCTAAGGCTAAAGTAAGTTTTGAAAACAACTAGCAAAGTCTCTAACTAGAGATCTTCAGTTCACTGCTGATGCTCAGGGGAAATTACATAATTGCCCAGTTTGCAGTGTTCATTCCCACTTTCAGAATAGATCTCAGAGCAGCCTAGGTTAGGAGGAGCTTCCGATTCTACTCAGCTTCGTTTACCTAGATAGGTATCTTAGTTAAAGTCCCTTTTACCCTCGGTTTGAAGATGGTGGTGATCTCCAGAAAGCTTCCTTTCAGTAGTGGCTGAATGTAAGGCAGACTTGAATAGACTTAGTGGCAGTGACAAAAGAAACGTCATTGTTTACAAAATACTTTTTCTGAGTGACCTTCCTTTCCTTTTTTCACTGAGGATTTGCAACCAGCCATTCTGAAGGCATTTTCTTTCTTCTACCTTATCCTTCAAATCTGTTATTGCTGCTGTTATTGTTAAGCCTTTTAGGAAATTAAAATTCCATACTCTTCGTGGAAAGGTGTAACATCATGAGTGGATCCACTGCGTGTAGAATACCTGAGATGTTGCCAATAAAACAATAATATTTCACTTATTCACATACTGAATTTAATCAAGAGCAGAGGGGGAAAAAATGAAAAAAGATACTAATAAAGCCCCAGCATTCAAGATCTTGTATTTCCTTAGAGAAGAAACCCTTATAAAATTATAAATTGTAATCAGTTTGGTTATTTGGTTTCCCAGCATTATCATACATACAAGACTCTTACTTTCAGTGATCATACATCCAACTTGAACTAGCTTAGGCATAAAAAGAAAATGTGTTAATTTACATATTGAATTATGGAAGGGCACAGGTATAGCTTGACCTCAGGGATAATTGGAATCACAGTTTACTCTGTATCTTGTCTCTGAGTATCTGCCTCATTCTCTTATGCCATCTTTCTCCAACTCCATTGGAAACATGGCTACTTGTAGCTTCCAGATTCCTATCATTCGAGTTTCACCAACCAAGAAAAATTACCCCTTTCCTTATTTCCAATTCAGAACAGCCCTGGGAAGGCGTCTGAATGGCCCATTTTTGAGTCAGACACCACCCTTTGACCCAGATCACTGTTGCCAAGGAGAGAAGAGCTCTAAGATAATGGCCGCTCCAGGTGATCGATATAGTTAATGCGTTAGATTCTGTTCTAAACAGACAAGTAAGAAGACAATCTAACATTACAGAGTACTTAAGAGGTACCAGATACACACTCACCTGAGCATCCTGTGTAGGGATGTGTCCTTCACAGGCTACAGAAGATAAATAGCAAAGGTGAAAGCAATTTGGGTAGCAAAATAACACCAGTGAGACATAGTAACCACTCACAACAGAAACTTCAATACAGTAACCATTGTGTTGTATATTCTAAAAAGGAATGAAATGCCTCCTTCCTCAATAATTTAAGTGTTCATTTGGTAGTCTAAGAAAATTTATCAGCTGTTTGACAGGTTAGCAGAGAATATAATCACCTACACAGCACTATGTGGCTTCAAGAAATGACAAATTAAGATTGAATCCCTCAAGTGGCAAGAGGTAAGTAAGATGAACAGAATGGTTTTTAAACAGTAACTCTGGACTCAAGTACACATAATATTGAGTCCTTGTTCCACCACTTGCCAGCAATTTATAACTTTGGGCTGGTTGCCTTATCTCTGCAATGGGATAATATCACCAATCTTATATGGTTTTAATTGTGGTTAAATAAGGTAATGTAAATAATTGCTCAGCACACTGCTGTGGAACATGGTAAAGAGTATAGGATCCAATGGATGAATGTATAATTGACCAGAATGTCTAATTGACAAGAAACTTAAAGGTTACTCTTTCCTCAAATATCCAGCCTCCCTGTGTGTCTTAGGCCTAATCCCATTTCTTAAAATTAAGGAAATGAAAAAAAATTAAGGAAATGACCTTGTCATTAACCAAATTTCAATTAGTTATTAGGATCAAATGGGATAATGTGTAGAGTTATATGTTTAAATTACAGTAGCTTTACTATGAAAGGCTGTTTCTTGAATCTTTAGTCATAAAAGTTTGCCATTCAGTTCTGGGTCTCTATTTTAAAAGTCAAGGCTATTTAAACAAACTAGAAACTAGGAAGTCCCTGAAAGCCTCACCAGATTTAATTTCTTAAAGGAGAACAAAAATGTTTTCTGTCCAGAATCTAGCAAAGAGTAGGTGGCACATTAACTACTTTAAAAGCTTTTCTTCTACCTGTGATTTTTTAGAGGATCTTTGTTAAAATTTCATGCATAAATTTTTTATAATCATGAAATTGTTTTTAAATGTACTGAAAAGACAAAGTTTTCTTCTCATGGATGATATGGATGTCCATTTTATTACATCATTTTTTAATTCTGGTAAGAAGGTTTTCCCACTTAATAAGATCTAAAATTAGATTGCATAATCATTTAAAGTAGTCATTGTTAATACTAATGTTAATGACTTGAAGCACTGTTTATAGATTCTAACTGACATAATTTGTAAACTGTCATCCTTGTTCTGGTTTAAAATACAGGAAGCCTTTAAGAACTGGTATTTATCCTGCCCTAAAGGATATACTTTATCCTTAGCGTAATTTTCTGGGAATAAAACACCTAAGGTAGAAAATTGGTTGGACTTCGTTTTTTGCTCTTCATTTAATTTGAAGATGACATTATTGTGTCTGTCTCTGCAAAATAATATCAAATGTGTGACCCATAAAATGGTATCTTCTTTTCACAGCCTCAGTGTTTACTTGCCTGGCAATAGCATTGGGATTTTACAGAATCTGGAAATAGTAGAGAAACTACTATATTATGCTGCTGTGGACTTAGAACACTACGCCAGGATACATTTATTCTGAACATGGAAGTTGTGGCAGATACTCAATACAAGGTTATTCAGAGTACATATGGACTAAAAATATTTTTAAATGGGAAGATGTGCTTTGAATTTGTGTTTTGTGTGTGTCTTTATTATGTTGAAAAGCTGTCATTCAAACCTGATTGATTTGAGATAGAGGCTTTTTGTCTTTATCCTTTTCATAGTTCATAGAAACCGATCCAGAGTTTTCTTGTGTTTGCTTGAACAAATGTATTTCGTAATGTCTGCTGCAAATTTAAAAACTATTCCCAAGCTTACATACTTGTAATTGTATTCAGCTTCCCTGGTGGTTACTACAGAGTTACCTTTTCTTTCTTTTTTTTTTTTTTTTTAAAGATTTTATTTATTTATTTGAGACAGAGAGAATGAGAGACAGAGAGCATGAGAGGGAGGAGGGTCAGAGGGAGAAGCAGACTCCCCACCGAGCAGGGGGAGCCCGATGCGGGACTCGATCCCAGGACTCCAGGATCATGACCCGAGCCGAAGGCAGTCACCCAACCAACTGAGCCACCCAGGCGCCCGCAGAGTTACCTTTTCATAGAAAATAAAATCTCGTTTTAACAAAGTTGTTTGGATTTTAAAGGCAACTTACCATATATGGAGATTGGGTTTCTTGGTAGTGAATTAAAACATTGAACTTTAAAATAATGTGTGCCCTAGTGCAACTGTAGGACACTTGGTATGAAATCTTCAAGTTGCTATGTCTTGGGCTCTGATTATTACATATACTTCATTTTTTTTGATTCACAAAAACCAGTTTATCCCTGCTTCTTAGGAACCCATCTTAAATTTACATAAAATGAAGAGGGTTTTTTGGGTTTTTGTTTGTTTTTTATGAGTCACTTAAATTCAGTAAACTTCTATTTGGTGACTAAGTAGACCAAGCAGAGTTATATAAGGACTAGTCAAGGGTCAATAAAAACCCTTCACCGTATTTGAAAAACAAAGTTTATAATTCCCATTTCGTCAATCTTTAAGAATTTTGATACATGAATATTTAAAAGTATGCAGTATTTTTTTAATATGAAGAAAAAAAATGAGGCAATGGAAACAGCAATGGTCACCAATGCTGAACTTAGTGATTGTTGTTTTGTTGAATAATAGCTACCACTGCCTATACAAGGGGGACTATGCTAAATAATATATAGCAACTCACCTTTTTTTTTTTTCAAAGCAGTCCTCTTAGGTGGGTGGTATTATCCTTATTTTACAGCTGAAAAAACAAGCTAAAAGAAGTTAAGGTCACACAGTTGTAACTCACACAACTGAGGTTGCCAAGGCTATACCACAGACAAGCCACACAGTCTTTAAATTCCAGTCTTTAACTTCTTTCTTACTCGGTATTCTAGTCATCTACAGGTTGAGGCCTCTATCTTGATAGATGGGCAAACAATCTAAGGCATGGGAAAAAAACATTTCTACTTACATCTCTCTAACGTCTTTTTCACTTCTGTTTTTGTGTTTCACTAACATAATGTGGCATTATATATATATATTTGGTCTTTGTCCCCAATTCCTGTTCTCCTAAAACCCTTGTACTTTCTTGATAGGGGTAATTACAAGCTTCTGTTTTCTTGGCACAAAGCTCCTAAAATCCTCCAGATCTCCTGAATGGTAAGAGTGTATTCTGTATGCTGAGGGGATAGGCGGCTGGGAGCCCTTCTGTAACTTCAGAATGGGGACTGGTTGCCAAATAGACCAAGGCATGATTATAGATTGGAACGTTCAGCCTCCCTGATCTCCCAACTCAACCTCTGGGAAAGGGAGAAGACAGGAGAGGAGCTGAAGGTTGAGTTCAGTTCCCACTGGTCAATCTACTGAACACATCAGGGTGCTAGGAGGGTGGCACACAGAAGGAAGTCATGGAAGCCCCATGCACCTCTCACTCTGCACCTCGTCCTTCGCATCTCCGTTTGGCTGTTGCTGAAATGTATGCTTTCTATTAAACTGGTGACAGTCAAGTATTTTTCTTCTGAGCTCTGTCAGTCATTCCAACCAACTGTGGAACCTAGGAGGGGGTTCAGGAAACCCCCAGATGTACCACTGATTAGAAGTACCAGTGACAACCTGGGACTTGAAAAAGGGTGTCTGAAGTGGCGACATTCTTGTGGGATGAGCTCTTAACCTGTGGTCTGACACGAACTCCTCTGGGAAGTTAGTATCAGAATTGAATTGTTGAACACCCAGACGGTGTCCAGAAAATCCAAGAATTGGTTGTGTTGGAAAACACCACGCCTAACGGGACAATAATACATATATGTGATTTATGATTAAATACATATAATTTCAGGATTGTATTAACAATTTTGATTCAGTGGCTATAATAAGACCCAAAATAATAATGGTTTAAATAACAAAGAGGTTTAAGTTCTCTCTTACCTACAGTCTAGGTATAAGCTTTCCCAGGCTAGTAATGTCGGCTCCACGGCTCCACAGTATCCAGGCACAGGATCCTTTTTATCTTATTCTACCATCCCTGGTGTTGCCCTCATTCACAAGGTCCAGTGACTCACAACCATATCCACATTCCAGAAACAAAGGGGCAAGGTGTGTGGGCAAGCCCCTTCCCTTTAAGGTCATGACCCTGAGGTTATATACACACCATTTTTGCCCACACTCTATTGGCCACAACTTGGTGTTTTAGCTGCAAAGGAGATTGGGAAGTTAGCCTTTATCCTGAGCAGCCACAAGCCCAGGTAAATCCTAACACTGCGGAAAAAGGGGAGAACAGGTACTGGGGGACAACCAGGGAACCTCTTCCTTCAAGGATGCACGCTTCTATGACAACACTCTTCTAGTTATTTCCTACCTCAGTGGTACAGAGAGACTGGAGATATGGCCTTGAGAAAACTGGAGCAATAACAACAAACTATGTCCAGAGTAGGGATTCACCTTAGGGTCACCAGCCTGGAAGGAAGAAGGAAGGCTGTGTGTAGTCCCAGAAGGTGAGAAACTGGGTTCGGGAATTCCTGTAGTGGTTAAGAATGCAGACTCGGAACTTGCCCCACTGAGGTGAGAATCCTGGCTCCACAGTGCTGTGTGATTCTGGGCAAATTACTTAATTATCATCTGTAAAATACACCTATCTCCTACTGCTGTGGTGAGAATTAAAAGATAATACGTGGAAAAGACTCGGCACAGGTCTCACACATAGTACGTACCAAATAAATGTTTTATTAGATCGAAGACCTCTTGCAAACCAGAGAAACTAACAATGATCAAAAGGATAGGTGAAGCATTTTTTAAAACTGGCTTACAGACCCCTGACCAGCCTGAACTGGTCTCACATGCAAACACGCTTCATGTCAGGGCAAACTGGTCCCGATGATACTGTGTCAGAGTGGCCTTTAAGCGTCCATGGAAAGTACGTGCCAGGGCCCAGAGGGTGGGCAGTCGGGGGTGTGGTGAGAAGGCTGTGGCCAGCAAGGCCCAAAGCCAACGATCAGATCTTCAGGGGGAAGCAGATCTAGACAATTGCCCCAAGACAGTCACAAATTGGCTACATGGAGGAGGAAGTGGGTAGAGTTAGAAAGGAGGGCATGAAGTCAGAACTGAAATGCTGTGGTGGTTTTTTTGGTCAGCAACGTCAGGAGGCGGGGGAGGGAAGAGAGAATAATAAAGCCATGTATTTATTATCCTGTCCAGTCGGCCTCATTTTTATATTGCTTTCTTATAAAGCTCGCAAGACAGAACAATGGTTGAATTCTAAAACAGATTATTTAAATCAGTATTTTTAGCAAACAAATTATGGGTTTTTTTCCTTTTACAAGAGCAGATTTTTATTTTATATAAAACTTTCCTGAGATACTTGGTTGCCCTTTTTTTTTTTTTTTTAAGATTTATTTATTTGAGAGAGTGAGAATGAGAGAGAGAGAGAGTACATGAGGGGGGGAGGGTTAGAAGGAGAAGCAGGCTCCTCGCTGAGCAGGGAGCCCGATGCGGGACTCGACCCAGGGACTCCAAGATCATGACCTGAGCTGAAGGCAGTCGCTTAACCAACTGAGCCACCCAGGCGCCCCCTGGTTGCCCTTTTCTATAATTTACTCGTCTTATTTGCATTATCTCCTGAGTCCAGATGCTTTTTTAAAAGTCATTTGAAAAGTTAAAAAATGATACTCTCTAGTAAGTAAAAGATAATTTTTAATGTCTATATTTCTTTTGATTACTAGACCGTACCACCTTATATTTTAAAGTTTGTGTGAATACTTGCAAAATCAGTTACTCATAAATATATAAAGTATTTTGGGTGGGGGAGCCCAGCCGAGTACATGTAATTTTAGCAATCCCTTTGATATTATATAACATATTTCTGCCTTCAGAATTGAAATAGTATATAAGATTAACTCTGAGGAGAATTTATATAGATTTACATTTCTATCAATTTAAAAATAAAAGAGAAAAATCAAGGAAGTTTATTTAAAGTTATTTCACTGATCAGTACCTTCTCACAAAAACTCCCCCAGAAGACACCTTTTTCTTAATTTGCCTCTTCTCTTTGCTTGACTCACCAGAAGAGTCATCTTCCTACAAACAGGAAAAGAGGGCCAAATGAGAAAGCTTCACTAGACACAATTTCATCTTTCTACATTATCTGTTCCACAAGAAAAATTTTAACCATACTAATATTTTCAACTCTGGATTAAATTTCTTTTGGGATTTTGTGTAAATAAATTTTCCAATCTGAAGTACCAGTACATCATATTCTGTGCTGACTCACAGACTAGGGGACACGTAGAGAAATCAACCAGTCCTGTCTCTACCGAATACATCTCCAAAAGAGAATGCCTAGTTATTTCTGCTTTTATCTTAGCCTAGCACTTCTCAATATACTGCTAACTGACATACGCAGTGTTAGAAAGGCCTCCTCTGGATTCGCTGCAAGCCCCATAGTGCTAGGAATCACATTTCTTGGTTCCTCCATTCCCTCCTCTGTGTTCACACAGCCTTCTACTGCCCACTCTGCCTGCCACCACTGTTCCCAAATATTTCTCATCCAGCACGGTATTCTCAGGACCCTGCACAGAAGATTCACTTAATGAATGCCATGGAAAGGAGCAAGAGAGGGCTAGAAATACAGTGGATGCTCACTGGATGTTAGTCATCTATGAATAATTCTCCCTGCACCCAGCTGGTCAGGACAGAGCTGAATGCAGGGGCTCCGAGAACAGCACAAGGCACAGGGTCATGGGCAGAGCCCATCCCTGGACTGAGTATTCCCCAAGCTGTTCCTGCCCACACCCTTGGCCTATAAAAATAGTTACTGTTATCAAAACAGTAATAGTTATTATTATCAAAAACTAGTTAAGTGCATTATATATGTCAAACTACCCTAAGAAACTACCCTGAGAAATTTTTTCCTGGAGAGAAATTATACTATTACAGATTGTTATTTAGAGGGGGAAAAAGTCTTAAAGGTACAGCTGAATGCAATCATAGGTCCTGACCAGAAGGTGGCAGGAGATTGAGGCAGAATTTCTTGAAGAATCTATAGAAATGAGCACTGAATGGAAAGTTCATTTCATTTCTACTTTATATGTTTACACTCCCAAATAAACAAATTCCTTCTACTTTGAGAAGCACTGGGCTCTATACATTTATCTACTGACAATGTTCATTAAACTCAAATACAGAAAATGAAAGGAAGGAAAAAGAAAAGATATGCAGAAGGGGGGAATATACTACCATGAATACTATTAGATAGAAAATACCTCAGTATTTCCACACAGTATTTCATTTAACATCAATACAATCTCATGAGATAGGTTTTTCCCCTTTTTAAAGATGAAATTGAGACTCAGAAGCTTTTGCAGAAAAGCAATGCCAGACCTGCAGCTGCCATTAGAGGTCGATGACATTTGCTCATTTACAAAAATTCGATTAACCTAAAGCAGGACTGCAAAAAAAAACACCGATGGGCCCAGAGGACAAGGGCCCTTGAGTCAGCTCTCCTGAAAACCTACACATTGTTGGTAGAGAGCCAAGTTTTGAGGGAGGATATGCTGGAGAGCATGGAATCAAACCTGACCCTGAAAACAGACACTTCCGGGTAAGAAAATATTTAAACAGCCATTAAAAAAACCAAAGTTTTCTAGGCAGACAAATCAATTTGCAATGACTCAAAAGAAGGTGAGGCTTGGGTAATCTCTGAAAGACCGAGGAGCGGGACAAAACCACACACGCTCCCGTCACGGCGGCGGGGTGTGCAGAGCGCCTGCCCCAGGGTGACGAGGCAGCAACAGGGCTGGGACTGCCCGCGGTCGTCAATGGAAGGTAAGTGTCCGCCGGTCCTCCAGCCCACACAGCCTGTGACTGCGCGGGCTGGCCTCGCTGTACGAAAGTCCCCTGGGGGCTGAGGGCGGTACAAGGTGAGCACCGCAAAATGAAGAGAATGGGTTGTTATAATTAATTACGTCTCTTGGAAAATTAAGGACTGGTGAGATACCAAAATTCGGCGAAAGTGTCTGAATTTGTACATGCAGAGAAATACACATACGTGTTTGTAAATGGATCGCACGTTGTGTAACAGGCATACCAAATTGTTGCCAGTAGCCTCCTCCGGAGACTGGGGCTTGGTGCGGGAAGGAACGACTGCCCTGTTTGTAACATTTTACAACAAGCACATAGACTATTTTCATATTTTTAAAGTGGCTATTAAAGAGACTAATGATAAGTTTGTGCAAACTATAAGGAGCCAGGAAGTTTTTTTTTATCAATCAGGTTCGAGGTGATACAGGTCTGGAGCAGAATTAACTCATCCGTAATGACTGAAGAAAACATCTCTGGCCGGAAGGAAAATACGAAGCGTACCTGAATCCCTACGCCGCGCCACAAGAGCTTCCCCAAAGGCCACATCATGGCCGTCTTCACTCACAGAAGAGAGTGAGGGTCACAGAGAGTCCCCAGCGTGCTCTCTGCCTGCCAACTCTGAGACAAGGTGGCCCAAATTTCTTGCTGTTTTCACTCTATTCTCTATATTCTACCTGCTTTTCTGTATTTGTTCTTTGTATCTGTTTGTCATATCCATTTCTTTTCAGCTTCCTTCTACATAGTTGTCCTTCCTGTCACTCTAAAGCATCTTTCTGTATTTTAGAGCTGTATTCTGAATTCCAAATTCATAATTCTAGCTAGAAATTATGAAAAGAGCTAAGGCTATGGGGTCAAAAGCTAGAAATTGAATACTGGTCCCACCATTACTAGCTGTGTGAATTTAGACAAGTCACTTAAACTCTCTGAGCCTCGGTTTCCTCACATGTTAAATGAGGGCAGATCAAATGACATATGATAACACACGAAAACTTTGTAAAGGTGAAGTGTTACAAGTGTTAGCTTTCATTACTCTGTAATCTGAACAAAGGATGCTATGACAACTCCCACTCTGGCTCCTTTCTACTCTTCAAACTCCTCTTGAGGATATGCTCACTTTGGCAGCACATATACTAAAAACTTCTTTTGATGAGCTGAAGGTTTCTTACATGGACTCCATTCCACTTTATTTTGGCTATTTAGAATATTAAAATATACATACTCTAGGTGCCTGAGAATTCTTATCACTCTGCTTATAAAATAATATTTTTTCTTATATGTCTCAATAATACTTACTGTACACTTATTAATGAGGATGTTCTAACCAGTGCAAATATGGATATATATGTATGCATGTGTGTGTACATAAAAAGTTTTATATAGTTATATATATAAAGATATAGCTATGTAGAGAGATATAGTCCTTTAGTCTTTACAACACTTTACAAAGTATAAATTATTATCTCCAGTTTAAAAATAAGGCAGAGAGGTTAAATGACTTATCCAAAATAAAAAAGGTTGTGGCCAAGAACCAAACCCAGAGTCCCAGTCCAAAGCTTATGCTCTTAGCTACTCTTATATACTACTTCTTGAGAGAGATAAATGTGTTAAGAAGGACACCAACCACAGCAAAGTTGGGGACCTGAATCCTTTCCAGTGTCTCCCTGAGTTGATCCACCTCTGCACGATACTCATCCAGCTGACCTTCTAATTTTTCTCTACGAAGCCGTTCGTACTCCAGCTGGCCCTGCAGCTCCTTGATAGTCCTGTCAAAAAGAAGTTTTCTCAATCAATCTCTAATATCAACTAATAATTATTTTTGGCCAGAGTGAAAAAGCATCCATGGATTGCATTTAAGGCAAATAAAACAAATAATTTGACAAATATGAATGGGGAGTCTACTATGAGCTAGCACTGATCTAGACAGCAGGGATACAGCAGGGAAAAAACAGGCCAAATGTGCCCTCCTGGGGCTTACCTTAGCAGTGGAGGAAGAAAAACAACGAAGAAACAAGTAAATACATGGTACGAGGAAGGTGAAAAATGCTAAGGATGAAAAAAATAAAGCAAGAAAGAGTAATATCAAATGTTGTCAAGGAGGGAATTAACATTTTGTACACAGTGGCCAGGGAAGGCCTTACTGAGAACGGATCTTCTAAATAGAGTCCTAAAGGAAATGAGAGGTAAGCAAGTAGACATCTGGGGGAAGAGCATTCCAGACAGAGGCAAGAGCAAGTGTAAAGACCCTAAGGCAGAAGTATGCCTGGTGAACTGGAAGAAAAGCAGAAGCCAATGTGGTGGAGTAGTTTAAAGGACAAGTTGCCTCGGAGAGGCAAAAGGGAGCCAGAAAAGGCAGTGCCTTGGAAGTCATAGCAAGGACCTACGCTCTCACTCTGAGCAAAGTGGGAAGCCACTGGAGAGTCTGAGCAGAGAAATGGCATGATCTGACTGAGATTTGTTTTCTTTTGCTTTTGTATTTTTTTAATGATCTACAAGTTACTATGAGTAAAATACATAAATATCAACTGAACAATTCAATGAGTTTTGATTAATGTGTAAACCCTGTAATCACCACCACAACCAAGATATAGATTTCCATTGCCTCAGAAAGTTCCCCCATGCCCCTCCCAGGCAAACTTCGTTTCCCATAGGAACCACATTCTGAGTATCTATCATGTTAGATTAGTTTTGCCTATGCTTATAAATGAAATTGCATATTATATACTTTTATGTGCCTAGCTTCTTTTAGTCAAAGGTATGTGAGACTTACTGTACCTAGGTTTTAACATGATTACTCTGGACACTATGTTGAGAACAGACTGCAGGGTATGGGGACTGGGAATTAGGGGGCAGGGAAAGGAAGCTGGGAGACATATCAGGAAGATGTTAAAATAAATCCAGATAAGAGATGATGTGACTTGAACCAGGGTACTTTTCTGTCTTATTGCTGGATGGTGGGGGGACGAGAATTCCCAAAGCAGCCTGGGTAGGATGTCAGGTTCCTAGAAGGGTGATCTAAGAGCATTCAGTAGTAGCTCTGGTATGGAAGTGTGTAGGGTTACGACTGGGAATGGGGAAGAAGAATGCCCACTGTGGAAGCCTAGAATTGAGCAAATAAGAAGAGAAAATCATTCCCAGGACATGGTAATACAACCATGCTTTGTTGTATTTTGACTCTGATCTAACTAACAGATCACAACAAAATTAAGAGGATATCCCTCAAACCAATACTTACCCAGTTTTTCTTGACAATTAGACCTAAAAGCAGGAGTTTGTACCTAAAGAATAAATGTTTTCAGATGTACTCAACACCAAGTGGGCAACCAATGCTAGAAAAGTACTAAAGCTCACTCAGAAGATACCCTTCAGTCTCAGCTGACATGAAAGTACATTCTGGCTCAAAGGCAAAGCAATCTTGAAAAAAAAAAATCTGTTCAAAATCACATCAATAGTATAACCATTTCACAGTGAAATGCTATTATTAGAGCTAGAAGTTCCAAATCATAATCCTCTTAGATAACAGGTTTGCAGGCCAACAGACTCAGGCTCAAATTCTGGCTCCATATCCCACCCTTCCAGTCCAATTGGATAGGAATGGTTAAAGACGGTTGGTTGAAAAGCTCAAAGTAGCTGTGGTCTCAAAAAAAAGTCTTGGGGTGCCTGGGTGGCTCAGTCAGTTGAGCATCCAACTCTTGATTTCAGCTCAGATCATGATCTCGGGGTCCTGGGACTGAGCCCCATGTCAGGCTCCATGCTTAGCAGGGAGTCTGCTTGCGATTCTCCCTCTCCCTCTCCCTCTCCCCTTGCTCATGCTATCTCTCACTCTCTCTCTAAAATAAATAAATCTTTATTTTTTTTTAAAGTCTTAACTCTATAGAGTTTCAGTTTTACAAGATGAAAAGAGTTCAGGAGATTGGTTGTACAAAAGTGTAGAAGTACTTAACACTACTGAATTGCACACTTAAAAATGGTTAAGATGATACATTTCGTGTTATGCGTATTTTACCTTAACTAAAAATAATCTTAACACCTTCTCCATCTGGGGCCTTAAGAGAAAAACTGGATAGAACCTTACATTCTTTGCTAAGGATGGAAAAACAAGTTGTTCATCAACAAACCTTCACATAGCATTTAGAAAGGTAACTAAAACAAACCATTAGAGTTTTGAGGACATTACTTTTCAGACTCAAGCTGTTCTTTCTTCTGCTTTAGATCTTCTTCTGTTATCCCCCCCAGGTGTTTATAGTTGCTCTCAGCAATTTCCAGCATGTGTCTCAATTCAACAATTTTCTTATAAGCTCTCACTGCAAGACAAAGTTGAAGACAGACCTAGTTTAGACAGACAACAGCTCATGGGCTCACAGGATGCTGCTCCTGAAATACATGCTTCTTCTAGAGCCAGTACCTGAGTGTGGAAGGAAGGTGGCATATACATAGAAGGGTAAATATCAGTAATAAAAGAGCAGTGTTAAACAATCACTGAAAGACCTAAATGGAGGATTCTTTTTCTGCTATTAGAGGATGTATCAAATTGATATGGCTATTAATACTATAAACAGGAAGGTTTAAAGAAGACCACAATTTCTTAGGATTAATGGTGTATTACAAGACCATGCATAATCTACTATATATAAGAAAATTAGAAAAACTGAAATATGGTTGATATATTTAAACCAGATCTAACCCAGCCCCCCAATTTTATGTTAGTCACTTGTAATATCTATTTATGCAAGAGAACACTGAGAGAAAGAAATATTGAGGGCTGCTTTTAGCTATTATCCAACTACCAAAACTAGGATTTTTCTATTCTTTGTGGCAGTGGCTCTTAACTTGGGGTGATTTTCTCCCCCAAAGGACATGTGGCAACATCTGGAGACATTTTTGCTTGTCACACTTGGGGGATGGAGAGGAATAGACGATTGGCATCTAGAGGGTTGGAATGCTATTAAAATCTTAAAATACAAAGGAGAATCCCCCTCAACAAATAAGCATCTGGCCCAAAAGATCAATAGTGCAGAAGTTGAGAAACCCTGCTTTATGGGACCAAGTTAGCAGTCACAGCCTCTTCTTCCTAACACTTAACACTGTGATTTATCTCTCAGTAGGTTATAGAGCTGCAGGTTCCAAACTGCATACATCAGAATCAACTGGGGTGCTCTTTAAAAATGTATATTTGTGTCCCGTACCAGACCTACAAGTTCAGGTATTATTGGTACTTAGTTTTACTATATTGGGAACCACTGTAACCACTAACAAGCAAGTAGAAACAATTAAAAAAAAAGTTACAGAAGAAAAGATCAAAAGAACTGTGGCTATTTAGCTTATGTAATAATTCTTTAATATTTGAGGGCTATGTTTTGAAAGAGCTGTTCTATGGGGTCATAAGAGGTAAGAGGTAGGATTAAATGAGATTAGCTCCAGGAAGAGAGATTTTAACTCAACAAAGCAGAAATTTTCAACAGAAACAATAAGAACTATCATGCATTTTTGGACACTATACTAACTTCCTTATACACTTTAATCCTCACAAGAACACTGTCAGATGAAAATGGGACCCCTGAGAAATAATGAGTATCTTGTCACTGAAGGTGACTAAGTGGATGCTGGATGACATGTGACAGGAGTGTTGAGCCAAGAGTCAAACTGCAAATGGGCATAGGGCTCTACAATGCCATAGACTTAAGTATAATTTACTAAAGAATGCTTTGAATTAAGGCTCAGTTCCAGGAATGCTGGGATGACAAGAAATCCAATCAGTCCCCTGTAAGTTCTCTGGCAAAACCTAGTGTCCCAAGAAGAGGCTCTTTTGTCCTTTGGGTTTTGCTCTGGAATAAAATTAAATAGGGACGAGAAAACAGCACATGATTTCATACCTTCACCACCTGCAAACACACTAGGTAGGTATCAGTGAGCTTCACTGTATGGCAAGGGGGTAAGAATACATTTTTATCAAAACACATCACAATAGGAAACTATTCTAGTCACATTCTTGCTCTTTTCTAAAACATCTTTTCAAAATTTTATGATTCACTGACAATGATCCCCTTAAAACATCTCTTACTCAAATAATTTCAGAAGTAAACTGTAAGTCTACAAATCAACTACTCATTTTGTGAGGTCCTATGTCCTTGCTCATTCTCAACAGAATCACCAAGAGTAACTTAAGCACAAATAAGAAAATAAAAAGTACATAAACCGAACTTCATCAAAATTAAAAACTTTTGCAAGATTCCAGTCTAAGATGGCGATGAAAGACTCTAAACTCACCTCCTACACAAACACACTAACTCTACATCTATTTATAGAGCAGTTGCTCCTGAATAAGAACCGAGGGCTGACTGAACAGCTTCTGCACAACAAAAGATGGAAAGACCACACAGAGAATAGCAAGAGAAACAGAGACATGGTAATGAAGGGAATCCCCATTCCTGATGTTATGAACTACAGTGGGAAGGGACTAACTACTGAGGAACCATGAGCAGATTCGTCTGCCCAAAGGCCCAGAAAAAAAGCTAAAGCTTAAAGAGGCAACTAGAATATAAAGGAACCACCATTAGAATCCTGTCAACCAGTGGAGCAACTGTTGGAACTCTCTCTGAATCAGAAGGGCTGGCAAGCTGCACGGCTCACATTCCCACTCCACCTCGACAGCACAGATGGAATCAGGATCTGATGGCCATAGCCAGCCTATCCCCTCAGTAAGCCGGGGGCCCCTAGCCCACACCAGCCCCACCAAGACGGGTCCCAATGTGGTGCACACCAGGACACTCTGGTCAGCACTCATTACAGCTCCAGCCACCTCGCCAACATGACACAGGCTCAAAGTGCTCTAGAACATCAAGGCCCATACTACACTGGCTCAGGATGACTTGCCAGGGGATCCCCAGCACAGTGCAAGGAACCCCCAGGCCTGCATCCACCTCAGCTTCAGCCACTAAACCAGGGAACCCCCTGAACAGAGTACCTTGGGGCATCCTGATTTGCACCCACTTTGGTTTCAGCCCTCCTGCCAGGGCACACTCTGTGCCAAGAGCAGTGGGACACCCTGCCTTCCACCCACTTAAGCTCTACCTGTCCTGCCAAGGTGCCCTCAATGCAAAGAGCCCTGAGCCACACCCACTTCAGCTTCAGCTGTCCACCCAGCATGCCCTCTGCAACTAGAGCCCCAGGAATACCTTGCCCTGCACCAACCTCTGCTCTGGCAATGCCACAAGGGCAGCCCCAGCAGAGTGCTCCAGGACCTCCATCCAGCCAAAGATCCAGCCAGCCAGCCAAAGTCACCAGGCACACACAGACAATACAGGGGACATCCCTACATAAGGCCATTCCTTCAAGTTTAAGAGAAGTAGCTGTTCTGCCTAATTCATAGAAACAAACATAGAAAGCCAAGCAAAATGAGGAGATGGAAGAATATGCATCAAATTAAAGAACAAGATAAAACTATAGAAAAAAAACCTAAATGAAATGAGGATAAATAATCTGCCTGATAACTTGTTCAAAATATTGACATGAAGATGCCCATCAGACGGAAGAGTGGATGAACTCAGTGACACCTTCAACAAAGAGATAGAAAATATAAAAAAGAACCAAACAGAGTTGAAGAATATAATAAATGAGATGAAAAAACACTAGAGAGAATCAACATTGGATCAGAGAATACAGAACAGATCAACAATCTGGGAGACAGGATAATGGAGAGCACCCAGGGTGAAGAGAAAAAGAAAAAAAGAACTCTAAAAAATGAGGATAGGTTAAAGGATCTCTGGGACAACATATATTTGCATTATAGGGTCCTGGAAGGAGAAGAGATAAAAAGACAGAAAACTTATTTGAAGAAGTAATAGCTAAAAACATCCATAACGTGGGGATGGAAACAAACATCCAGGTTAGGGAACTCAGAGAGTTCTTAAAAAGATGAACCCAAAGACATCCACACCATGACACATAATAATTAAAATATCAGAGATTAGAGAGGAAGTTGGGAAGATGGTGAAGTAAGAGGACCCTAAGCTCACCTCATCCCATGGATACAACTAGATAACACATCAGCATAAATAACCCAGAAAAAGAACCAAAGAATGCAGAACAAACTCCACAACTAAAGGTAAAGAATAGGGCACACCAAAGAGGGTAGGAAGGGAGGAGACACAATGGAGAGCAAAATGGACCACAACCATCCACAGTCAGGAGGGAGACACCAGTCCAGAGAAGGGCAAGAAAGACTATCACACGGGGGAGTCTACATAAGGAAGATGAAACCCCACAACATTTAGCACTGAAAGCCAGAGGGGCTGAATTTTATGAGTTCTAAAAACCAGAGAGACTTAAAGCATGGAATTTTAAAACCCTGCGTGCTCAGTTCTGGGAGAGCCTAGAGAGTGATAAGAAGCTGAATCCTCCCCCTTAAAAAGACAGCCGTACAAACAGCCTGCAGATATATAACCCAGAAGCAGCAGTTTAAAAAACCCCAGGGGCACATGGGAGGGACAGTTATTTACTCCTGTCAGGGAGTGTCCTGGAGGGGTAGGGCTCACAGGAAGACCTCTCCAGAAACAAAGGGAGCTGGCAGGCACATTCTCCGTCCCTTGCCCCCCAGCATAAAAACAAGGCCACCTGCGGGAGCCTGCAGGAGCCAGCACAAAGCCAGTATTCAGCAACTAACTTGCTTACACCAAACCCCACCCACCTGTGTATGAGCAGATCTGCCCTTCTCAGCTACTTTTTGCCTCAGTCCCCTCTCCCAAAAGACCTGCAAAAATCTTGCCAACACCATGTCATCCAACCAGTGAATTTTGTGGGGCCTTGATCCTCACAGCAGAAGCAGGTCTCATTTTGCAAGCAGACCTGAGCTCACCTTGTTAAAACTGTGCACCTCACCCTGGCTGGGGACCAAATGATGTCCACAATAGGCAAAGTGAGCCTCTGCAGATGAATGAACTGAAGGAAAAAGCAGCCAGGACACAACAGCAGGGTGCATGCAATACACAAAGGAGATCCTCTGAAGTGCCAGGGAACAGGGGTTACTGCACCGTAAGGCACTATAGGACCTATCCTTCTTAAAGCCATTGCTTTCAAGAGCAGGAAACATTGCTGACTTTACTAATACACAAAAACAGACACAGAGAGGTAGACAAAATGAGAAGACAGAGAACTATATCCCAAATGAAAAAACAGGAAAAAACCACAAGAGACCTAAACAAAATGGATATAAGAAATATGCCTGATAGAGAACTTAAAGTAATGATCATAAAGATACTCACTGGACTTGAGGACAGTGGAGAACATCAGTGAGACCCTTAACAAA